GCCCGCACGCGAGACCCACAAGATTGCCTCATCTCTGGCGCGATCCATCGTGGTAATCCCCATCAGTGCCGCCATCTCCCACATTCTCCGGCAGGTCGACCCGCTTCGCATTCTGCTGCATCCAATAACTCCCGCACGATCACACAGCATCAACGTGACAGGCGAAATCAGCTTAATCAGATGGCCTGCTGCCGGCGTCCGGCCGGCCGCTGTCCTCCGCGGCGGGCCCTCTCCGGCCGACGCGGCGCCACCCCAGCTTAACTGGAGAGGTTTAATCAGACGGACAGGCGGCGGCAATTAGCGAGGCCGTCCACGCACGTCCCCGGCCGCCTCGTCCAATCGGAGCAAAAGCTCGGGAGACGTCTCACGGGAAGCCAAGAAGTCCGACGCCTCCTGGCCGCTGAGGTATCTCGCCGTTTAGGAGGCTTTCTTACCGGCCGTCGCTTCCATCTGGCGACTCAGACCGAGCTGGTTGTTCACTCGCATCTGCATCGTTGGTCCGACCGTTGTTTTGCCGGCGCGCTGGCAATCCGGCGGCTCTCCCGGTGCGCCTGCCCGCGTGTGCCGCCGGCTGTCGCTCCGGCGCCTGCCGCCATCCATCTCGCCGGCGTGCTGGCGGCGCCGGATTGTCGGCCGGTACGCCCGGGACCGCCGCGCCGGAGCGTGCGGACCCCGGACCCCAGCTCGGAGCTCACCCTCCGCAGAAGTCGCCACGAGCGGCGCAGGCCCGCCCCGGCCACTTAAATCAGCGCCGCTGTCCGGTCGCCTTTATGGCCGTCCACCCCAGTCAATTGAAACGGAAACGTCTGAGCCCCGGCAAACGGGCCAGAAACCGATAGACGTCGGGAACGATTTTTGTTTAAGATAGGATGAAGAGAAATGGCATTGTTATCCTAAGAACTCCGTATCGCTGGTGAATCTGAAAAACGATCATTGAACATTGGGGATTCGACTTGGAAACGGCTCCGGATTGTTTCGACTTCACAACGGATTTTCAACCCACAAGTCGGCGGACCAGTGCCTTGCGGTGTACCGTGGGCCGACGGCTGTGATTATGCAGATGAGATGCTTTAAGCTAGCATGACTGGATAACTGCGGCAGGGTGTCCGTCTTGCATTGTTGTAAATCACTTCTCTAATAAGTGAATCAGTTAACTCATTTGCGATCTTGAGCCCCGAGCGACGCTGTATGGGCCATGTCTTAACATGCTGACGAGGCTGGTGTTGTGCTCTGCATCTCGCGCTGTTTTTCCGTGTCTTATACCCGTGATCTCCCGTATCCAAGAACAAAGACCGTTTCGCAGGCGCCTGTCTGCGGTGTTTCCAGATCACTAGAGATTGCGGTCGGTCTGTGTAGCGACACCTGTTCCCTTAAGAGCCTGATGAAGTTCCGTGGGATGTGGAGTACGTAATCCCACGGCTCGTGAGTGTGTTATTTCTGTGCTTTGCTATCGTATAAACTGGGTCAGGCACTCGTGGGGCCGCACAGCGTCTTTCAGTGTACAGAAGCCCAGCTGCATACTGAGAATCCCAGCCTCTGAATGCCATTTGATATTTTACCTTCGGAAAACGAAAGCCTAACGTTTATCTAGTCCTCATGTAATGGCCCCAATGCCGTCACAGCTTGCCGAAGTAGACTCCCCCCCCCCCCCCCTCGTCTCGTAAGACCCCGGTCAGGTCCGCTGTCTGAGCCAGCGGGACCCGGCCACGGCGTGACTCGATGACTCGATGTTTGCCGGCCTTGAGAGCGGCAGGTGCCCGTCTCTCCGCGCGACGATACACCGCCCGGCCCTCCCAGTGGCCGGCCGGCAGCTTCCCGGGCGTCCCTGGCGCTGCCGGACGCCCGCCAGACGTCCCCGTCCCCGGGGCGCTGACCCGCGCCAGCGACCTGCTCAGACCAGCTCGACCACGGGAGCGTCCGGGGCTGTCGGACCGAACACGCCAGACGGCGGCGCTGTCGCCGCGCCAGCTCGGCAGCGCGGACGCTGTCGTCTCGGCTGGCGGCCGGACACCGCGAGCACCGGTCCGCCGGCCACGTCACCGCCTGGGCGGCGGTGCAGCTGCCCCGCCTCGGGCTACACTCGGACGAGGCGCTGCCCGACGCCGCTGATCGTGCTCCTGCTGATTAAAACATCCACATTGCTTTGACGGCACACTCGACCCGGAGACCTCAGCGAGCAGTCGCTCTCAGCGAGACAAAGCGGCGACGCTGCCCCGTCATCGTCGGCTCGGAGGGACCGCGGCAGGTGAAAGCGACGCCGGAGACGCGGATTTGTCAGCGGCGCTTTGTGCGGGCTCGCTCGGCCGCCAGACCTACCAACGCCGGCGAGGTATCGCCGGCGTGTCGGGATGGGAGAGAGGACCGGTTCGCGGAGCGGATGCCTTTCCCACAGCGACGCACGAGTGTCGGGGGAGACGCGTGTCGATCCGAGAGGAGACGTGTGTCGATCCGAGAGGAGACGTGTGTCGGTCCGAGAGGAGACGTGTGTCGATCCGAGAGGAGACGTGTGTCGTCCGAGAGGAGACGTGTGTCGATCCGATAGGAGACGTGTGTCCGTCCGGAGGAGACGTGTGTCGATCCGAGAGGAAACGTGTGCCGGTCCTCGGAGCGGACCAGGTCCCGGCCTCCGGCGGCGGGCTGCGCTGGCCACGGTGGT